TGAAAACCACTGAACCAAAAAACACAAGAGTGCAGTGATCACCTTTCTAAAAACCACCTATCAACTCGTGCCAAAGCTGGTCTCTCCGCTTTCACATGAGGCCTTGCTAATCCGTCCGAAAGCTCCTGAAAGCCCGGTGTCATTATTATACCCCAGCGCCGGTTAGTTTTCCGCCCCATTTCAGACGCAAATCAAGCATTCCTTTCCACCCTGCAAAATAAAGGTTATTTAAGAGTGGTGGACAGGGAGTAGGTTTTGGGAAAGAGGTTGCCTTGGGCTAGCTCCAGCTAAGCCCATAAGAATCACTTGCTTCGTATTTAATGCAGGACAGACTGCAGTTTCCCCAATCCTGGCCCTGGAGTGCCTCTACACAGCACAGTTTAGTATTTTCTGTTATCTAGCATACTTGATTCCACTTATCAGCTCAGTACCAAGCCCTTAAAAGACCTATATGCTAAGTTATTTTCCATTTATGACATTTACAGGAATTTATGTATGAACAGTTGTAATTGATTTTTACATGATTATTTATGTTCATTTTTATATGTCCACAATGTTTCTTCATGTCTTTAAATTAAACAGGCTGTTTTCGGTGCTGTGCTTTGGACTGTTATTTGTAAATGAACTCTTTTCATACTGTCTCTGCATTGTGTCCCTTAAAAAAAAGCAGTCTAAGCTGAAACACTTCTTACAACTTCAACAGGAATGGGCGGGGCTAAACTGGTGTAAGCTGAAAAGACGGACATATGCAAATAAATTCCAAACGGGCTGTTTTTGCAGCTTATACTTTATGAGAAATTCCTTTCAAATAGCTGATGAAGTCATATTTCCTACAGGAAAACTCAGGATCCGAGATCAGTGTTTCCCAACCCAGTTCTCAGGGTCCCCACTGACATCCCAAATTTTTGCTCCAATCTAACTCAACAAATTGGGATGAAAGAAAAATGTGGACCATCTGGGGGGCCTTGAGGACTAGCCAGGGAACCACTATTCTAGATGATCCAGATGTGACATATAACGCCACCTTTCACCTTTTCCATCCATGAAAAATGGTAAAACTGGCCGTGAATATGGAAAACAATGTCTGATGCACTTTTGTGTCGTTTTAATATAGAAAAAAAGCAGGATACATATTTTCCAGACCTCCATGCTTCATTTTTCTGTGTGTTGGGCGTATCTTCCAACAAGCACCCAGAAGGATTAAAGTCGTATTTACTAGTTAACCATCTGGTTTTATATATATAACCTTCCAAGGAGCACCTAAATGCAGCATAAATTTCCATACATGGCTCGTACATACTGGGGTGCAAATGGTACAATGTTTACAAGCAATGTTAAAGTCTTATTTCCAAAAAACAAATGAGGAAAATTCGTCTTTCGACGATAAATGTCCATGACAGTGTCTTGAAAAGCAATACAGTGAAAGTCAGACCAAGAACCACTGGACTATGCAAAGTATGGAGGCTATTGTATCTCCAGAATGGGAACTTTATGGATGGTTAACAAAAATTCTTAAATTTAATGTACGTTAACACAACAGGATTTTATATCATTTCTACTGATCCACTCATCATGAAATGTTCACTCAAAAGGCCAGAATTTACAAGGCTTCGATATGACAGCGAAGCTGCCCTGGCCTGAAATGTCTTCGTTTCACCTTCTGAAATGAAGACACTTAAGGCCAGGGCAGCTGTTTCAGTGGAGTGTGTCCAAGTGCATAAGCCTTCATCCTCAAGAGTTCTTGAATGAACCAAACCGCTTCAGCGCTGACCATGCATAATGCTAAAATTTGGGTGCGGGGCAAAGCATTCACTCCAGCGTTTGATGGCATGCCCAGCTAATGCCACAAGGAGAAAGAGAGAAAAAGAGAGATCCAGTCTTTGTCTGCGGTTCTTGTTTGAACAAACTGCACTTGCTTTAAGGGCCTTCCAGACCTACCGTAGTACTAGCACTGAGAAGCTCTGGTTTCCCAAGCCTTGCTAATTCACTTAGAGTGGCCATAATTGAAACTGTGGGCATGCTAATCGCAATAGCTTACACTCATGCCTTTGTTCTTATGACTATAAAGACATAGCTCGGTGTCGCCTCATTGCCAATACTTCAAACTATAATTAAAGTGGCCGAGAGCATTGTCATGGTACACTAATTATTTCCTTGACATTTAAATATGGAGCGCTAAAAGGTTACTGTCGCAGGCATATAATGACATTCAAGAGCAGATCAACCACCAGCTAGAGGGGTTTTCTTGTACTGTTAATTATCCTACGGTCCTTCTAAACTGGTGAATCTCTGGACGTGTGGCCTGCATGCTAATCCCTTTGGAGTGTTCTTCAACCAAGCACTGTCTGAGTAGGTCTACTGTGTGAGAATGAGAGGGCATTAAGGTTAACAGTCAATTTGGCCTTTTGAAGACATGAATAGGGGACAATTCGTTAAACTCCCATTTCTTAGACTGAAGCTTTGAATAGAGCAGACAAAATAGTTAGGAAACATCTAAAGAAGTTTGGTTTTGGCCATCCTGAAACAACATTTCTGGGCATATGGATTGCTTGTAAAACCCCAGGGGGCGACTACCAGTATTAGTGATTTGCCTACACACACGAAATACCAAACAGCCGTCAAGAAGCATTACAGTAAACAATGTCATGAGAACAAAGGCTGCCTCTTGCTTTGTGCAAGCATGCGATGGCTGCTGATGCTGCCAAGTCATAGCCTTTAATCAAGCCTTCAGACATGGATGCTTTGTTGTGGGATTCTGCCCAAAAACAGTATGACTGACATCCAGAGGCCTAGCACACCTGAACATAGCTAAGGAGCCACAGGCGAATCTGTAATTTCAGTACAAACCACTTGCGTTAAACAAGGAAGCTGACCTTAACCACAAAGCTTCCAGACAGAGGCTCATAAATAAGTCTAGTTCAAATCACGTGAATCAGGCTGAGTCGTTTTCTGCTCACTTACTAATTACTCCCTAACTGCACTTACTAAGAGCAAAACGGTGCCTAATTAGCAACAAAGAGCTTTTAATTTTCTAATTCAGGAAGCTACTTGAGGTAGTAACGCAATTAAACGGAGCCAAATAGCTTTGGCCCGGCCTACTGACAAAATCTAACAGAGTTACTACCGACACCAGGGCTTTTAAAAGCTGATTGGTCTGTGGCTAGCGGACCTCTAAACCAATAAGAGCCTGGTACAATGAATAGTGAGCGTGCTAAGGGGACTGGCCTTGTTTAAAGTGAATGGGGGGGGGGCACTCTCTAGAGAATGCTCTGAAAATCTGTGGAACAGTTGGCCAAATGTTTTCATGGATGGAGCGAGAGAGGTCGAAACCCCGGCTGTTCCTGTAAGCCAACCCCGAGGGTGATCTGGAAACACGTGCTACACCACTCCCTGCCATATGCAGACATACATCAACACAGAAAAGCCCTCAAAGCCCTCTTTGCCTGTGCAGGAGCAAACAGTCTGTTTAGGCAGTTAACCAAGACATGCACAATGCTTTACATGAGTTAGAGCTGTCAGGGCCGGAGGAGGTGTTTCACACAGCAGAATTTCTTTGTTGGTCTGAAAAGCTTAAACAAAAGCTGAATTCTAGCTCTATCGTGTACTAAGTGTATTGAAGAATGTATATTTACTAACTGCACACGCTGATACTAATTTTAGCTTAAAGATATGTAAACGTATGCAGGGAAGCAGGAACAAGGGAAAAAACTAACCTCGTCTTGTAATGTACATCAGAGAGAGAGAGAGAGAGAGAGAGAGAGAGAGAGAGAGAGAGAGAGAGAGAGAGAGAAAAAGAGAGAGAAAGAAAGAAAGAAAGAAAGAAAGAAAGAAAGAAAGACAGATGCAGAAGCAATAAAAAAGAAAGAAAATCAGAGACAGAAAGAAACAAAGACAACAGAGAGAAGGAAAAAAGAAAAAGAAAGATAAAGAGAGAGAGAGGGAGAGAGAGAGAGAGAGAGAGACTGAAGCAGAGAGACTGAGAAACAGAAAAGAAAAAAGAGACAGAACAAAGAGAGAAAGAGAGACAGAAAGAAGAGAGACAAACAAGAGAAAAAGACAGAAAGAAAGAGACCCAGAGACAGCCAGAGAGAGAAATACAAGAGAGAGAGCGAGCGAGCGAGCGAGCGAGCGAGAGAGAGAGAGAGAGAGAGAGAGAGAGAGAGAGAGACTGAAGGAGAGAAAAGACAGAAAGGAAAAAAGGAGAGACTGAGAGGGTAAGAGAAATAGAAAAAACTCAGTAGGAGAAGAGACAGAGAGAGAAAAAGACAGAAATACAAAGAAGAAGGAGAGATACAGACACAGAGAGCGAGGGGGGGATACAAACACTATAAAGACAGAAAAAGTCAAAGAGAAGCAGGGAGAAGGGAAGACAGAAAGAGAGAGAGACAGCAAGAGAGTGAAAAAGAGAGAGAGAGAGAGAGAGAGAGAGAGAGAGAGAGGGAGAGAGAGAGTGAGAAGGCGAGAGAGAAAGCGAAAGAGCAGGAGCGAGAGAGAGAGAGAGAGAGCGCTCCGCATTTCAAACAGTGCGGTATAATGATGAGTGTGGAAAAATCTGCGCTGGCATCATGTCAGCCGTATACCTCTCTGCTATGGGCACGATACTGTTATTTAATTACAGGCCTGCTGCAGCATGTTAATCTCCTCATTACTAAAAGTGGGTTGAGCTATTTGCTGAAATTAGCATTTTGCCTCGCAGTTAAAAAAGCACGGACCTGCATAATGTGCATCAGACCACACAGCAGCCTTTCAACTTCATTTGTTTCAGTCTCATTATATTTGTGACCAGGAGCTGAGCCACTATATCACAAATTCATTTCTGTATGAAACCCACCCCACGTAGGAATAATGGCTCCAAAGCAGGAACTGACACACCGATCTCACTGTGATGTATGATGTCATTATCGGAGGCATGTGAGCATACCAATGTTTTAAAATGACGGATCTTCGGCGGCTTTATGTCAAACGGCGACGTAATGACATGTAATTTTGACAGAAATTACCTTTGCACATTGCTTATGGCCTTGGCACCAGCCTAGGGATCCATTACTCTGTAGAGAGAGAGAGAGAGAGAATGAATTGAGAATCACGCCGCAACCTGTAACAACGAATCGTATTTAGAATAAACATTCTTTTTTTGATGTGAGACAAAACATGGAACATGAATTACAGTTAGCGTTAAATTAAACCACAAATATTTATAAATACAATATATTATTCAGGTTTGTCATTATATACAAAAAATTTACAGTGTATTCAAACATAGAGTTGGGTGATATATTAAGTATGCTTTTCTGAGTATATCATCAGCAGTGCCAACTAGAGAGAGCCTGTAAACAAGAGTAACCAGCGTCTCAACAAATTAAAGGAATAAATTGACGTCTTAATAAAGTATCGGGCCAACGTGAGCCACCAGAATAGTCCTTGGCAGAGAACCTACAAGGCTCTGGAACTGTACTGGAGGGATGGAATATCATTCTTCCAAAAGATTCCCTCAGTTGGTTTTGAAGATGGTGGTAGAGAGTTCTGTCTAACACGTTGGTCCAAAATCTCCCATAGGTGGGTTGAGATTTGGTAACTATAAAGGCCATAATATGATTTTCATCATTTTCGTACTCATTAAATCATCCAGTGACCCCTCGTGCCCCGTGGATGGGGACACTGACATCTTGAAAGAGACCACTCCAACATGAATAGAAATGCTTCATCACAGGATAAAGGTGATCAGTCAGAACAACTTTGTGGACCCAAACTATGCCAGCAAAATGCCCCCAACAGCATAACAGAGTCAGATAACCCCCAAGCGTTCAGGCCTGCATCATTCTCTTAGTGTGTCTCACACATGCACTCGCCCTCTTGTAGAGAACTTAGTGAAGTGACTCATCTGACTACATCACTTTTTTCCACATCTCTGAAGATCTGTTGCCCAATAATGAGCCCTCTTTCAAAATGTCTTTTCCTCTTGCTATTTAATCCAGAATCAAACCTGTTCAGCATTTTTTGTACATAAAACAGAGCATTGTAGGATGTTAAATTCTTAAATGTATCATGCCGTGCACCTGTCTGGAAGCATCTACCCTCATTGTGATTCTCCACTCATATATTCAGGTATTTCCCTTAATTTATCACATATTCATAGTTTCATAAAAAGTTTACTACTAATTGATTAGTATTCTCCCAGTATTCTTCCTACTGTTCCTTCTTAAGTAGCCTATTATTTATTAATAACATCTTGTTTTAAATGTGGCACTATTGATTTGCTGATGCAGTCTGTCAGTTCCAACTTGCTCTCAAACCTCAGAATAACTCAATTAAAAAAACAAGTATCATGATGTCATATTTTGGCAATATTGCCCACCCTCAAAAGTTAGACCTGCGAGTCTGAAGATGTAACCACTGAACCCAATACATACAAAACATACTGGTATAGGACAGGACCACCTGCACGGCATCAGCCTAACCCTGACCTTAAGTCTAACCTGACTGCCATCCTCACTTCCAACTTTAAAACATAATTCCATAACACAGCAGTCTTTATAAGACAAATATTTACTCAAAAAATGGAGCATCTGATTAGATCTTCCTGTATAGCTAGGATAGATACCCCAGTGGGCCTGTCTCAATTATTACTTATTGCCTGATCACAATTATTTCACACAGTTGTTCACTTTCACAATCGTATGTTTAAATCACAAAAATGAGAATGCCAAATTGGTGCATTGTTAAAAAAAAATTAAAATGTTATGGGTCTTCCAAAAACAACAAAAGGTTCTTCAGGCTGGTGCTATACCACCTTTAGAGGGCAGTGTTGAGTAATGTTTGTTTATTTGACTAGTTAAAAGCTAATAATAAGCTTTTAACTTTGGTGCATATGATGCACAACAAACACAATTAAATTAAAAATCACAATTATCTAGATGGCAATTAATCGCCGGCTAAAATTTGATTGTGACAAGCCTATACATAGGTTAAGTCAGGAGTCTACACTCTAAACCTCTCACTCGCTCTTGCAATCACAAAAGTCTGTTTGCACAGCAAATCCTGGAATGTTCTTTAGCATGTCGAGAACTGTCATAGTGTTTTGCTCCATGGCCAAATAAAGCTGTTCCGAAATTTCTACAATACAGAGTTCAGAGTGCTGAGCAGGCAGCTTCTGGCTAGTCACGCAAAGTTGAGGACAATAGGGTTCCGCTAGCTGAAAAACAAAAACATAATCCTCCAGTTCTTATGCAGAACGTCCACATGGGCGACTTCTGAGGGATTACATGCTTCAGTATGACTGCCATACATGATTGTTGTAAAACAAGCTACACCATGACAATGTTGTTCTGCGAGCATGTTGAATCTGAGCCACCGTGGCCGACATAAGTCAAACAAATCTATTGTGACTAGTGAGGTGGGATCAATAGACAGCGCCTCAGGCAGAAGCACGATGTAGCTCACGTGTAAGTGAATGTGTGCCTGTGGTACTAATGTCAACCAAATCTTTTCCATTATATGTGAAATTTAACAGAAAATGTATTATAACTCTCAAGAGCTGCATATTTTCTCATCAAGATCATGTGTAGAGCTCTGCATGGTCTTCTATTTACGCAAATCCATAAAACGTGATGAATGGAGCATGATAAACTGACACTTGCTGTCAAATAATCAAACAATCAATAGTCCATTTTGGCACATAGAAACAATGAGGAGATGTCTAGAAAGCCATTAAACTGGCTAATCGTGGGCCAAAAATGGACCACCTCAAAGCCAGGCTAATTTCCCCGATCGTTGACCAGGAATGCCCTTGAGACCTTCATGACACGTGATGATGTGATGTTTCATTCAACCGAAGCCATTCAAATAAACCCATGACCCTAATTTCCATCTCATATCTGAAGAAGGAGATAATTGACAAAATGGCTCTTCTCCCAACTCGATGAGTGGGTGCTGGAGATGTGGATACCAACACAATGATCCACAATGATCAGCACATATCAAAGGCATTCATTCTGAACGAGCCAAATGCTTAGACTGCAAAGGCTGTTCTAGAACGCAGGCAGACAACGGTGTCTGCTGTTTGAATAGAACCGCGTGGAACGATCTGAACAGTGGCGTTTTCAGCGCTCCCACAATAAAGAGCTTCCATCCTCGTCTCACTTCTCGATAACATCTCCCAGGTCACGGGCAGCTTGCTGAGCTGAAGAGAGACGTTGGGGCGCTAACGGAGATTGATGCGCTCAGCTTCCATAGACTATGTTTTGATGTCTGGCTCAGATAGAAGGAGGAGTGTCACATGGTTCAAGACAGACCATTTGAATAGATGTCTGCTGTTGAACGGATGTCCTTTGAGGTCACTGCACTTGGCTCTGAGAAGAAATTTTAATTAAAATGGAACTAGACTTGTTTTTCTAAAACATATGTATTGGGGTGCATAGCACAGGATAACCTTTGCTGGACTTCATTAGCTGACAGAATTAGAATTATTATTGTTTTGGTTTAGATGCTATAGTATATTTTTGTAGATAGAATGGAAACTACACCCAACAGCAAACCAGAAATAATGAAATGGTCATGTTCTATGAGAAGTTCCTCATATTACATACGTTGTTTTTATATTTTCCATATTGAATCATGATGGTCTAAAGTTACACAGAAACTCTGTGTCCTCAAAAAAAGACAAAAAAGGTCTAGCTGATCATTATAGGCTTAGCTGTCTGTCAAATGGAAACCACATAAATCAAGATAATGGTTCCAAAAAGGGATGAGTATGGATGTAATCACAATAACAAGCAAGCATCTTTGGGTACAGATATAAAGTGCACTGGAAAGCAGAAATACACAAGGACAAGACAAACATTTTCTATGCAGTTGTGTGCAAAAGTTTGAAGATCCTCAGACAAAATACATATTTTGTTGATTTTTTTAGTGAAAAGAAGTTGATACATCCTCTACAAGGACCCTACACTGCATTTTTGTGCAAATATTACAGCACAATTTGCATTTTTTTGCTTAATTTAATATGTTGGAAAAAATAAAACAAAATATTTTATGTACATTTTGCACAGGCCACATTTTAGTCCAGCAAATAAACAGTAATTGTGCATTAAAATGTGCAGAAGTGTGTTTTCTGCAGAATTGACTTGTTTTCACATAGAAAATCAACAAAACATGCAATTTGAGCAGGGGTGCCCTAACTTTTGTATACGATTGTAAATGGATATTCTGACTCGGGGTGAGCAATTTGATGATGTGAATCATTATCGTGAAAAATTATATCACATTGTTATAATATGCTTTTCTGAGCATATGAGGGATATCACCAGGGAAGACCTGATGATTTCAGGGAACTTCAATATGCATATCTGTATTTATAGTTCACTTTTATTCAGCAGAATCATGCTTGTATTTAATTTAATTTAAAGTACTGCTCTTGCTTCGTTGTTAAGTTTAGGGCAGAAACAAATGTCCAGCAGAAAATTGCTTCAGGAGTTGTTTTTCTCTGTGGTATCTAAGTAGATATAGCTAAGTGAGTTTTTCTATTGGTTGGGAGTTCAAGAGTTGAAGATAAGTCCAAACACTTTAGATAAACTATCAGTACAATTACGATGTGATGGAGGAATCAACAAATCACGTTTGGATTTCCACTGAATTACTTGAGAAAAAGCTTCATGTAAAACATGGAATGTCTTTTAGAAGCTTCAAATGTACGTTTAATCTAGAATGACCAAAAAATGTTCATGCAGCTGAACAAACTACTAGAATCCCATAAAGATGCTAGCAGAAGTTAGCATTATCAAAGAGATGGGCTTTTAATTAATTTTTTGACCAAGTTTTGAGATTCATATCCTAAACTGAAGGCCTAGTTCTAATAGTCAGGGTTCACCACTGGATTTACTTTTGTGCAGTATGTTAAAATTGTTTTTGATAGTGTTTTTTGTTGTTGTTGTTTTGGTGGCACTGGTGGAGCTTTATTATCTGTTCCAACCTGTTACACCTCAGAAAAACTAAATATCATGATGTGTATCGCTTGTTTGCTCATTCTCTCATTTTCAAATCCCATCTCACTTTAATGGAATGTAGTAATGAGTATCTCAGTAGTATTTGAATTATTAATAAAGTGCATCATGGCAAAATTTCCTATTACTTGAACAGGCTCATAAAAAGATATTAGCATGATGTCAGATTCTCAAATGTTTTTAAACATATCCCTTTCCAAAATTAGTCAAATAACTTGCTGACCACTCTGTCAATTGCAGTGACCATTGCGGTTTAATTTTTTAATCTTAACATAAATGTGTCTGAGCTGAACACTCACTGCTATATTAAAGCTCATACGAGTGGCTTCATTTGAATATGTACACTGAAAAGGGACGGTAGCAACAGTCTACATATTGTACACACCATACTACTCATATTGATATTAAAAGAGATGCTGCCTTCGCACAAGCTGTGATGCTTTATTTCCCAGCTGTTGTTGGCCACAGCCACGCCGTACACAAGCAGAGATTTTCTCTCTAACAGCTCACTCTCTGACCCACCTCAGGTCTCTTTGCTCACATACTTATGTACCCCCAGGGAAATTCCTAGCCCCGCCCTCTACAATAAGAGTCCATAACAAAGTGAACCAAGTGCAATAAATGCTGAAGAACACATAACTGACACGACAACATGTTTCTTGAACACGCTACAGTAAGTTTTTATTCTGTGTTTTTTCAATTATTTTTTTAAGACACATAGATATACATCCGTGTGCAAAAGTTTGGATGCCCTGGTTAAATAACATGTTTTGTTGATTTTCTTAGTGAAAGTAAGTTAATACACCCTCTACAGAGAACACACTTCTGCACATTTTAATACACAAATACTGTGTATGTGCTCAGTAAATATTGAGGAAAACAATAAATAAATAAAACCTGGCTGGTGCAAAAAGTTACAGTAAATCTAAAAAATATTTTCCCCCAATATGTTAAACAAAGCAAATACACAGAAATTGTGCTCTAAAATTCAACTGACTGCATTCAGCCAAAACAGCATGAGTGAGGTCAGGTACTGATGTTGGATTATTAGCTCTGGTTCACAAACTCCACTCCAACATATCCCAAAGGTGCTGGATGTAGCTCAGTTTCTCTAGAGAACACAGTTCCTCTGCTCTGCAGCTCAATGCTGGGTGGGATTTATACCCCTCTAGCTGACACTTGGCATTAAGCATGGTGACCAAAGAGTCCCATTCGACTGTCAATACTTTTCTATGGAGATTATACAAGCTGTGTGTGTGTGCAGCTGTACACCAGTGTTAGTAATGGGTGCATCTTAAAGCAAATTAATCATCAAACTAGAGGGGCAGGGAATTAACCAACACGCAACCACAAAATAAATGAAGAGTTCATTCATGACAGCCCACTTTCACTCCAAAAAATCATTTAGGACAGTCAGCACTTCAACTTATGTTTATGATGCTGTAAAATAGCAGTAAGCAGAACAGTTATTTTACATAGTTTCATGCTATGTAGCCTACATAATACTGGCTACTTTAAATGATTTCACCCCATGCATGGAAAGCAGCAGTTACTTTAGATGCTTTCGTTTCAGCCGTTTTTATGAGGCTGTGCTTACAAGACAGCAGTTCATTTAACAGTTTTGCTTCATGGGGTTGCACACAACATTAGTTACTTTAACGGCTAATTTAATGGTTTTCCCTTGCATATAAAGCATTTACCTGACAGGTTACTTTAAATGGGGTTCATGCCTCAAAGCCTATATGAACCTACAGTTAGTCGAACCGGTTGCTGTAAATGGTTTTACCCTTGCATACGAAGCAGCACTTATAGTTACTCATGCCATGTAGCTTATACAAGACTGGAGTTAGGGCAGCCCATTCTGTCAACTATATAGTTATACTGTATTACTGAAATACAGTGATAGAGTTTTATAGGGATATCTTTACTCAATGATATAATGTGCATAAAATAGTGGTGTTCCTAGTAGCAAAGCATATTTTTATGCACCTTACAAACAATATCCAGGACATGACAGTTAACAATAACGTAATTTAGGGTAACAAAACCTTGTATCTCCAAAACACACGAGAAGGACAGAAACATTCTTAACTTTTACAACTTTTTATGGACGTTAATAGAAAAAAACGTGCATTTAAAGTCATTTTGAATGATTTTTATTGGTCTATTCATCATTAAATTGACAAGGTAAAGGGAAGCTAGCCATTTTTGTCAAACAACAGCAAAAATGGACACGTGATTGTGTGTATATTGTGTGTGTATATATATATATATATATATATATATATATATATATATATATATATATATATATATATATATATATGCGCGCTGATTAACATTTACAAAACAGTCTAATCAAAAAAAGCCATGGCAGCTCTCAGCTCTGTAAACAGCAGCATGGGTTCCTAACTTTATTTACTCTATAGCTTCCATCTCATCTAATAAAGTGGTATATTTGCAAATGATCTCCTTCAGTACTGCCCAGCCCTACCCCACACATATAACTGAGCAGTCATCTTGCATGCTGTTTCCCAGCAGAAGGACCAACGCGTTCACACCCACACACATACATGCACGCACCTGGAAGTGGCTGGCTGTGAGAGCGATGCGCGTGCTGTGGAGGCTCAGGCACCTGGCGGCGCACCTGGTGCGGAAAATGCCGCCAAGCGCCGAGGCTGAGTCCGCCTTCCTTCCCCAAACACTGCTGCAGCCCAGCAGGAGAGTAATCCACACACACACGGCGCTCTGCATGCTGCGACCGGCGAAGAGGAAACGTCCGCAAAGCGCGAGAGTTAAAGTGGATGTGAGAGACACGGAGAGAAATGAGCAAACTTCAATCAGAGGAGCACGGGGGGGCGGAGTCAGCGGAGCGACGCGGCACGCGATTGGTGGAGACCTGATGCGAGGCACAACGTGAAGCCTGAACTGCTGCTAATGGTAAACAGTAATTCACAGCAGGAAAGCGCCTACAAACTGGATGGAAAGCACGAGGTGGCTTTCACTGAATCTTTATGACATTCTATCTATTACAAAGGAGTATTGCAATTCAGGTTTACTGTTATGAATATATAAGTCTACAGTATTATCAAAACTTACATCTGCTAGTTCTCATTAAACATGTGAAACTAAATGTATTAACATAAGACAGTACAGTACCAGCTGCATGGCTCCTGGCCTAAAACATAAATGTCCATATCTATTTGCTTTGGTTTACATGTTCTTTGAGGTTTTCTGAGTACAAACCTGAAGAAAATGTTCACTGTGTGGCTAAAAAAGTGAGTTTCAATTTATCATATTAAATCTAGCCTTTAGGTCACACATTTTAGGTTAAACAAAACAAGAGACAATCCAACTTTTTAATAAACCCATGAAAATGTCATCAAATGAGTGCTGTCAGATGTTTATCCAGTGCATACCTAACAACATTTCATCCTTTTGGACTAATCAGAAGAAGCATTTTTCCTAATCATGCTAAATGTAGTTGGACATTAATGAGTAAATCTGGACTGACTTCCATCCTGATTTAGAACTTTCAATTATAATCCCACACCATCTCAGGAATTTTGACCTCTCCTTTTGGATTTGCTGTCTTATACATTTTGCAAGACCTTGTTGCAAAGCAAAGGTATGCAGCATTTGTCTGGACACTGGAATGCAATTTTAATTTGAATTCAATTTTGGTCAGTTCATGTAAAATGGGACACTTTTGAGCGGTTCATCAAAATTACATCTTAAACTCAAGCGATACTGGTTTCACTTATGGGTGCATCCTTAAGTGTTTATTTAAGTGTTCTTAGTAATGTCAAGGGTTATATTTAGAACCATGACAACTCAAAGAACCATTTGAATGCATACATAGTTATTTGAATGCTTAAATGGTTCTTCTTTATGAGGGAAAACTTGTAGTCTATGGTTCCATATAGAACCTTTGAGAAACCTGTTCTGTATAGGACCAAAAAGGGTTCTCCTAAATCACAGAACCCCTTTGGCTTAGAATGTGCTTATCTACCTTAATTATGACATATGTTGCTTTTTATACTTACCAAGTGATTTCAACAATTAAAATATTCAACACACAAATGTCAACATTTAAGTGATATTAAGCTGTCCCACTTTACCTGAACTCACCCTATTATCAATGTGTTCATGTGTAAAGTCAGGTCCTCTGACAACTTTTTGGTCTGATCTTGATGATCACGCCGACAGCAACTGCTGACTGCTGCCCTCTTTTGGTGACACAGATTATCACATGCTCAAGCAGCTGGTTGGAGCAGCCTGTATCCAAAGCCACACATGGCTGATAAAGCTGTTAGATAATGATGTTCACTTACATAATCTGTCATGCGTACAGAAATGAACTTGTTAATCTAGAAAGATAAGAGTGGAATCTTGAGCCTTTGCTAGCCGAAGAGTTTCCACTCACCCGACTAGGCTGCAACGTGCGTGCTAAATGTATGGCAGGCCTATGGAGCAGGCCATTGTTTATTTGAACTGTTAAAAGGCTAAGTGCCTGTGGTAAGCAATGCTGCCAAGCAATGCACTGATTTTCCATTCACCCTCAGCTGTGGTGCTGAAATACGGCCGTATGTGTGTGTCAGACAGAAACCCCAACAGCCTCACTGGCCCGATCCCAAACCTGAGCCCAACGAGTGGAAGGCAGGAAGCATCCAGGGAACCCCACATCTATAAACAGCACTTTTCACCGGTAGCTTAAAAAACAACACGTTTTTTTATGTGCAGGGCAATTAAAACAACCACTACCATACGCCATGAGGTATCTCTCGACTGCCTGGCACCGTTTCTTTCGCCCAAGGAATGGAGCGAAACATGACGTGTAGGAAACCATGAGCGAAATCCTTCAACGTTTCTCACTCCGGCATGTGAGCTGCCGTTTCACAAGGACGGGAGAGCCCGGGGTGTTAACAAGCCTGCCGTTCTCCTCCCTCTCGAAAGCCTGGGTGTTTTACGAAGCAGTGAGGCATCCCTGGTGCTCCAGCAGCTGCTTCATCATCATTTTAATGCTCCGTTTTACAGGTGGGGGATTCAGAATGGGCTCTCTCCATCAGGCAGAGGTGACATCAAGCTTCTGTAATTAGCAGCAGCTGATTCACAACCACAGTGTTATAGCTTAAGGAGCTCCCAGCAAATGTGTTTAGAGATGGTGGTTTTAAAACTTGGAATTCGGCCTACATTAGTTGAGGTTTTATAGAGATGGTTCTAGGAGAGTTGTGGGCCAAAGCCTAGACTAAAAAAAGACTTTCCAGTGTTGCTTGAGCAGATGTCAAATTTTTTGACATAAAGGGCCAGCTTCCCAGATGAAGCCTAATCCTAGATTTTCCAGTGGAGATTCACCAATGACTCTGCAATTTGGTATTAAGTAAGACAAGACTTATTCTACACTATAAACTAGTTTCCCAGGCATGAATTAAGCTTAGTCTTGGACTAAACTGCAGTTTCAGTGGGGAGTCTCCTTTGGACATTCTTTTCAGTCTAGGATTAGGCTTGGTCTATTAGACTGGGTCTATATGTGCAAATGCTTGACATCTCTTTATCCATCATATCTTCTAAAATCAAGGGTATTAATAAAATTAATTCCCACTTGGCTGCATCAGAAAAGGCTTTACCATAGATGTTAAACTATTGCTGAGGATTTGATTGCATTCAGTCACATGAGCATTAGTGAGGTCGCATACTGATGTTGGACGATTAGTTCTGGATCTTAAACTCCTCTCCAACTCATCCCAAAGATATTGGATGGAACTCCATCACTCCAGAAAGAACAGTTGCATTGCTCCACAGCCCAACGCTGGGGGACTGTAGACCCCTCTTGCTGATGCTTGGCATAGGATAGGGTGATCTTAGGCTCATGAGTGGCTGCTCCAGAGTGTCACATTCTATCAGAAATGCTTTTCTAGAGAGATTATACAAGCTGTGTGTGTAAAATTGGGTGCCTGTGTCAGAATAGGTTCACTTAATTCCCTAATTAGAAGGGGTGTCTGGACTTTTGGACATTTTAAGAAACTGGCCCTTGGTGGTCTAACCCTTACAAGGTGAAAATGCCACTCAGTTCTCCTAAACAAAAACGTGGCTTAAACGCTGCTGTCTGTGTTTCTGCCACATAAAAATAACTGGCTGTGAAGCTCTAATGGTCTCGTTACAGCTATGAATGTGTGCGTTTGTGTGAGGAGGAAACACCATGGCGGTGTGGGGTCTTCTCGAAGCAGCGGATCCCCCTCCTGCTTCGTGGGGAAATGCCTCCTGCCCATGGGGAAGCCTCGTAAAGCAGGATCCGGGGGATCCTCGCTGTTTATTTGAGTTACGGGTGGAAAAAATGCGGGGAGGGTCACCTACGTCAGCCTTTACTATGAGAGTTTCCACTGGCAACATGTGTTTACCTGAATAAACAGCTATAAACAGTGTTATTTTGGGAAGAGTGAGAGAACTTTTGTGGTATGTTTTGGAATGAGCTACTGTGGGCCTGACGCTGCATTCAAGGATGATATATGGAACTATGAAATTATATGAAAATAACTGGACTAGCATGGGAGCATTTGAAATGTAAAACCGCCAAAATATGGTTATATTCTTAGTGAAAAGTCCAGGGCTGACATTTAGCGCTGCTGCTGTGTGAATTAGGAATGTTATTGCCGTCTAGTGAAATTCAAAGCAATTACATGACACTGGATTTGAGATGAACAAATCATATAAATATGTGAAAAGGAGTTCTGGCACCAGGAAATCCAAATATGTATTTTAAAGGGCCATTTGCATTTGTGCCAAAACAGTCATAATTCATCTGCTAATAAGTCATTGACCAGTTTCCAACCTGTCTTTGTCCCTCAGCATTAAACAGGCTTTTTTGGTACTCTGCCTTTAAGGCTGATACATATCTAAATGAGCTCTGTTCTGATTGGCTGCCCTGTATTGGGCCTCATTCAAAAAGCAATCCAGGCTGAAACATGGCTTATAACTTCAGTATGAATGGGTGAAGCTGAACAGCTGTAGGCTGTATAGGTGGATATATGTAAATGTGTTGGCTTTCGTGATATAAATTTAAAACAGGCTTTTTTTTTGTTTTAATCTAGACTATATGGACTAAGGAATAAATAGTATATTTTGAAACTTTAGCAATGTTTATATGCTTCATCAAACTGTTTTATTTCCAAAAAGATTTTTTTTTCTTCAGGTTTTTTGGACTACAACCTGTGCAGGTCAGCCATAATAGTATTCGTACTTTTTGAGGTGACAAGAAGAAACACCAGTCACGTTCACCACTGAGTGAATTCTGACTGGAAGTATCACTGTGTAGTTTGGCACTATCACTCAAAGGACAGGCATACATTCCAGAGAATGGTCAGAACAGCTTAACAGTGTTCATGTCATCAGTAGAGCAACTTGGCACATTTCGCTGTAGGAACAAGGCTCGTCCTACGCCACACAGGACATCTAGGCCATAGCAGTTATAGTAGGCCACTCTGTAGCCTTAGAGATCATCATAATGCAAAAGAATAGGTTGCTGAACAGGACAGCAAGCCTGACTGGTAAGAATAACAGACCGTGAGAGCTATGGCTACGGCCTAGATGTCCTGTGTGGAGTAGGCCCATATGCGCTTTCCTCCTTATGAGCATGCTTCCCTTTTTTATACATATATTTTTGTATATACCACAATAACCTGTGCATTGTCTTTATATAGACTATTTTTCTGTATGTAGTGTCTACATGTAGCTATGTTAATATCTGTTACTGATACAAGCCATGAAAGACTTCCATGCACCTATACC